TACTTGGGAAGACCACTGAGAAATGGGACCCACCCACTTGCACCTGCAACACCCAGGCCTAACCCTGGCAGAGCAGGTGGATTAGAGGAGTCCTGAATGTGCACCACAGATGTGTTTCCATGCTTTCCTGAGATGAATCTTCCACTTCCACGTGCTTTGAACATGTCTTTCTGCCAGTTAAATAAAAGATACTTCAGTTGGAAGTTGAAACTCAAAATTATTTTACCCTGTATTGTGGATAATCTGTTGCATTTATATTCTGCACGATTAGCTAGATAAGATATAGCTAGAAAGATTAGTGATAATAGAAATGATTGACACATATTCAGTGCCATTGAAGTCCATTTCCTGACAGTGAAGGATCATTTCCTACAGCAATGCCTCAAGCCTCTTGGGAGTTTATTTCAAAGATTTAAATTTTCTTTTTAAAGTTTTTTTCTGAATCAATGAAGATTCAATAAAAGAAGATTGTCAAATGAATTACTTCTCATATCTGCCCGCAGTTATACCCCTGTAGGGATCTGGAAAAATATCATGATCATTAGCCCTAATGCTTATAATATCTTGCTGCTCTGAGGCATGGATAAGTGTTAAAATGATTTAATGTGTTAGTCCTTACACTGTAGCAACCTGCAGGGATATTGTCCTCCCAATGTATGCAACACTTATTAACATTTCTGGCAGTCATATTATTGAGAGGAAACAGATTTTCCAGGTATAGGTCTGAGAAAAACACCTATTTTTGCCATAGCTAGCTTTTATTTGGACAAATGTGAAAACCAACCTTTTTGTTGAAGGCGGTACATGAAATAAATAGAGAAAGCACCAACTGCAACTCCTCAGGTGAGTTAGAATCTGAAGTGCTTACCCTAGAAAAAATCCCTGTAACTTTTATACACAAATGCAAAGGCAGATTGTAACCACAAATCAAGTGCTTCCCATGCTAAAACATAATACACAAATAAAAAGTTTATATCAACATAGTTTACTGAAGTTGAAAGATCCATTAATGATGATTGGAACCCAATATCCACCAGTAAACACTTACTGAGATAATTTATTTTGATTTAGCGTTTTGTTTGCTTGTGGTTTTGTTTTGTTTTTTCCAATAAACTAGGATTTAAGGCAACAAAATAACGAGGCCCATTCCTTGTACTTTAAATAGAAAGTGCAACATCTCATGCCAAATTCCTAGCTACTTACACCTACTAAGGCTTTAGTCTGTAAATGTTCATCTTTCACATATTAAAACACTGCAGAGTAATTTTTTAGTTTCTTACCTCTGCTAAGGTGTTAGCAGATTTAGCAGAATAGGTGTTAGCAGAATTTTTAAGACCAATTAAGACCAATTAGGTTCAGCTGTTTCACACATACTCTGTGTGTGTGTGTGTGTGTGTGTGTGTGTGTGTGTATGCGCGTGCAGGTGTGTGTGTGTGTATGCATGCATGCATGTGTGTGTAGGGGGTGGAGGGGATATTAGAATTAGTGTATTTTAATTTTAATTGCATTACATATACCACACCAGTGAGGATCTGAAGCAGGTGAGAACAGGCTAATGAGCATATTTCCACCATATTGGAAATATTTCCTCACACTATTTCATTTAGAGGTTTCCTTTATACTGTGTTAAAGCAGGCATGGAATTCATTTACATCCATGCACTTTCCCTTTTTTTGTCCTGAACTTCCATATCCCTCTTCTTTTTGGGTTTCTGATTTATTTAATACTTACTTCATTACTAAATATATTTGTAACAACCACTTACCATAGCAATACTGCTGACAATACTCTTAATTTGGGTTCATTTTTTTCTACAAAACACCAGGTAAACTTCCATTTTCCCCTTCTCTGTACTTCTCAAACATCTTTTTGAAGTTTTTGTCCTATCAGCTGGTTTGCTGCATTTATCACTCCGCTTAAAAGACACTCAGTCACCATCTGTCACCTATGTCAAGTTATATGTAGACTTCTATGCTTTAAACCATACTTATAGTTACCTTTTTCCTAATGCAGATCTCTGGGTTTGCAGATCTTCTACTTGTTATATCAACTTGCTATACTGCATGCACTCTTACCTGTATTCTACAGTATTTTGGGCTACAACCTCAAATTGAAAAATCAGTATAAAAAATTAATAGTAAAATAATAGCTCATGTACCAGTATTAATAACATTATTGACCAACAGATAGCTGTTGGGCCATTCTTAATTAGTCTCACTTATCTTAAGAAACCATTAAGAAATAAGACAGAAGATACTTTCTACTATGTATGTAGCAAAAACACTGTGGTTCAGCTGTCATGCTAGTACATCTTATTCCATAGAATTCTGTACAAACTTTAACATACATCTTTTACCATGGATCCACGGATTTCAACCATAAAGATATTCCCAGTTTATACAGTTTCTTTCCTTGTCTTTCTATTTACCAATGGTAGGTAGGTACCCTGGAATACATAATTCCATGAAAATGGAAAGCAACTAAGATACACAGTTGACAGCAATAGGCACATTTTCAAAATGTGCTACTTTTGCTTATATGGGTCCACATCATGTACAAATATAAGATATCATGCAAGGTAAGGAAGATTCTTTAAGAAGAAAACTGCTAACCTCATTAATGAAAGTCTGGGCTCCCCTTGGACTTAGAAGCAAAATAGCCCTTCGTAATGTGTCACGGTAGCGATTCAATTCTTCTGTCTTCATAGTGGTAAAAAGACTGGCAAAAACTCTGCTGATGTTTCTGTCCACTTTCTGTAAAGATACATCAAGTCCTAGTCTTGAGGCCTGGTCCAGAAATCCCTGCAGCCCACGAATATCTATAAAAAGGAACAGAAAGAATCATAGTTTCAGTCTAGACTTTTTAAAGCTAAGAGTACAACCTTTAACAAACAGGAAGAAAGGGGAATGAAGTCAAAATGTCTTAGCATTACTATTTGCCTTACTTAATGCTTAGTGCTTAAGGTCCCATCCCATCATAGACACTCATAAGCACAGAATTAAAAGACTGTCCCAAAAAAACTTACCATCTAAGTATATGAAAACCAAAAGACAACAGATGGATATAGGTGGTCAGATAATCCTCAAAAACCTCCTCCTCCTGTCTCCACCTATCTCCTCATACAAGATCTCCCTAATTTATTGCAAGAAAATATTGGTATTGTATAATACGCTCTCTCTTCTCCCAGCTCATTCTCTCTTGCTCTCCTACAACACCATCTTCTTCCATGTTTTTAAGTAAAATGTTGTCCTACATGTATATCAGATAACATACACATGTCAAAAGGAAGACATATACTTGTGAAACATAAAGGACCGTGTAGATGAAATGAGGGGCATGTGTGCATAACACTTTAAAGCAAGTTAAATGCTTTTGCACCACTTTAATGATGTTGGTGTTTGCATGCAGCAGCCGTGTATTGTGCATTAATTCCAGCCACCGTAGCACATTCAGCAGCATAATGCATCTTAAATTACTTTGGGGCGCAGCAAACTAAAACACCTTGGAGGAGTTTGAGTTTGCTGCCCTACAGCCTCTGCTGGGCTCCATGAGGCTCTGACTGTGCAGGCAGCCCGTGCAGACAGCCTGGCAGCAGCCCAGGTAGGCAGGCTCCAGCGAAATAAAAAAAAAAAAGAAAAAAAGAAGCAGCGAACCTGATTTCCCCCCACCATGTCTACCTGCCTGACTGCATGAGCTGTGCAGGAAGGTGGTCTTTCCCTCTGCAGCTGTGGTGCCCCACAGGACTGCCCAAGCCAGATGCCCACAGGCAGGTGTCACCTGGGAGGGCCGCCGCTATTGCAGAGGGAAGTACCAGTTCCCTCCACCCCCTGCAGCCCAGGGACCACTCTGCTCCCTGGCAGTTCACCCTCCCCTCCCCGCCACCAGAGGGGCAGGTAAGACACAGGTGTACATGATATGGGTTTACTTCACCCTAAATTGGAACAGCATTTTTAATAACCCACCATTTCAATTTAGGGTCCCCATTTCATCTACACATGCCCTAAAGTTTTTAATCAATAAAGGGTCAAATAAAACTTTTGATCTTTCTATTTGGATGCAAAGACATTTTTCATAGTCATCAAGTTTCTTTTGATTTTACAATGAAATATTGAAGAAATACATATTTAAAATTAATTTATACTGAAAACATTTTATTTAAACTGAATTGTCATTCCTGACCATAAGAAAAAATCTTGCAGCTAACATCTTTGTTTTGTAATGAAACATTTACCCATGTGAGTGTCAAGATTTTATAACAATCATTTCCTAGGCCCTTTTTTCATCAACAAAAGAAACGATTATTGGCCATAATAGTACCACTATTTATTTAGTTTTATAATTATATAGATCATTTCCAAGTTATTTATTAATGCTCATATTATTTATTTTACTTCGCTTTACTGATTTTGTTTTGTCTTTTTTAATTAGGTATTTTATGCCTACAGTGTTGGAAAAGAACAAAAAAAGTTATCCTTATATATCATTTTGAACTAATGGTTTCATCATGCACAAGGGATTGGACTCACTCAGTGATCTGAGACTCTTTCCAGTCCATGTTCCTTTTTTTAAAAAAAATCCTGTACTTAAAACTTTCCCTTTAAGTATGACTGCCATTAAATCTGCATAGATTTCCAACAAGGATGGAAAGAAATGGGACCAGCCTGGGAAAATTAAGTGGAGTGATAGATACTTTTAAATGCAACCTGACAACAGCCCCTATTTAAAGCTTTTTTTCCCCAATAATGTAGTGGTAGCCTAGAATTTATGAACTCCACTTAGCCAAATTCACCAGCAGACAAAGCTATATTATTTTTCAGAGGTTTGTACTGAATGAAGCTCCACAGGAAACTATACCAGCTCTACTCTTATGAACTTAGGAGCTCCAAAAGTCTGAATCTAAGCTTCTGCAAAACTCCTGAAATTCTTCTGTGAGCCAAATCTCAAAATCTGAGTTTTGCAGGGCTGTAACAACAGAACTGCAATTGACAGTAGCTTGATTATCGATGCCATAGATTTTCCTAATATTACAAGGATTAAATCCTCTCCCCACTGAAAGCAATTTTGTATTGCTTCAAACCAGGTTAGGAGTTTTATCCTGATGTGCTTTAAGGCACTCACAAGACAAAAAAACAAACAATTCCTCCCTCCCTCCTCAAAAAAAGCAAAGCAAAGCAAAGCAAAGCAAAACAAAAAACCTTATGATTTTATACCAATATGTATTACTTTCACAGGATATTACTTCTTCAGAACACTGTTCAAACATGACTTCAAAACAGTTTTGTACATCTATACTAACTGGGGATTTTATCACATACGCCATCCATTATGGTCAGGCACCAACCAAATTCATGGGGCCCTGGAGGACTTTGACATGGTTGTAACACAGCCAGGGCCCCTGATTCCATGGCCATATCATGTCTGGGGCTGCCATTTTAAAGGCAAAGTAGGCCCTTCCATGCCTCTGACTGCCCCCCCACAAGTCTCACCTCTCCCAGGCATTGACCAAAAGCCATAGATGGAGCTGCCTGACTTGTTAATTCAGTAATTATCACCCTCATCAAGGGGAAGAGGATGATAATTACTGAGTAAACAAACAGTTTGTGTTTGTGTGGCAATTAAACAGTTCCCATACCCAACTGAAGTGTAAAGCTAGCTACCTGGCTAAAAAAAAGCAACAGAGACAATGAATATCATCTCTCTCTCCCCCTCCCCCCACTTTCAGAAGAAGGAGACTTTTCGCAGGCTTTTCCTTGCTGCCCCCCCTCCCCTTTTGGAAACAGAGATGGGATCTTTTCCT